ACAAACTCACCCCGACAGCATGAGAGCTTCACCCGGGGATTAGGTCTCAGACCGGGAATTAGGTCTCAGACTGACGGGGAGGCTCGGGGCTCGACTTTAACTCACACGACTCTCCGGGAGTCGATCTGCTCTCTGAACTTTAGACGTGTCCGATGGTTCAGCCCGCGGAGCCACCAGGCCGGCCATGCAGAAAACCGGCCATGTACATCTCTTATTCAGACTAAAATCAAGTCATAGTTCCGAGATGAGGCGGTTCCCCAGTCTTATCTCTCATCAAGCATTAATTTATTTTTTAAACAAAATGTCTTTAATGATTCTAAAGACAACTTTAAAAAAACTACATGGGCGATTAAATTGGTTTACATGTTTTGTACTCCAGCTGGTGTCCGGGCAGAATATCCCTTTAGTTCCTTAAGAACAGTAGGTGTCTCGACATAGTATATTTATATTTCCATGGGCGTTTGACAAGGTTCCACATAGAACTTTAAAGATTAAAGATTTGAAAATAAAAAGCCATGCATGTAACTAGAAAGTGAACTGGTGTATTCATTGAAAACAGAACAGTGACAAGGATGTAAAAGTTAGTTTTGCAATAAATGGGGCATCACATCGCTTCTTATTATTACTATGAGAGACGCCATTATTTCATGAACTATAATACGTGAAAGTTATTGTAGTCAAGTGCACAGTGCAGGTAATGAAAGTGTTGTTTAGGAATATCCGACAACTGACAATAAACTAGTGGAAGCAGAGTGCGACAGGTGTTTAGGAGATTAGTATTAACTCATAAGTGTAATCTCTAAGAGACGCAAATTCATTTTGATTACTTTAAAAAGGCATTAAAAATCTATACCGTATTATACACTGTATACACAGGTTCTACAGTGAAAAGGGAACCACGGTCAGTGAGTGACGTACAGTACAGTAATCACAGTACAGTAATCACAGGTGAGACTGACTGTCAAACACTAACAGTATAATTCTTACTGCTTGACCCAAAGCTAAAAGACGG